GTGCCTGGAGAGGCTTGGGAAACTCCAGATAAGAAGTGGGTTCTGTCATCTGCGGCTCATAAATTCTCACGAGTTCCTCCCAGTGTCTCTATGGTGTCCAGCAAAGGTTCAGCCTCCAAAGGGGAGAAGAACGTGGTTGCTTCTTTCCTTGGCTTGTGCAGGGTTTTCCAGAGAAAAGGCATATGGGGGGCAGGGCAGGGCTCCCCTTCCTCTTACTCTCTACAGCAGGAGTCATCCAACTCTAGGGTCTATCAGAAACACCTGAATCACCCAGAGGGCTTGCTACATTGCTGCTTTTCAGACCCCAATGCCAGAGTTTCTCATTCAACAGACCTTTGGGGATGAGTTACCTGCATTTTGACCTGCATGCCAACCAAGGTGTATATGAGTCAATTAAATTCAGATAAGCAGGCAGTTAGTTGATATTTGCAATGCCCTAGTGAGAACACCTATTTGAGGAGTAGTTAGGGAGTTCAGAGACACTCTGATCAAGTGCCTGTGTGTGCATGTGCAGGGTGCGGGGAAGCAGCCTCTGTTGTCTTTATCTCCCGTCAGCACCAGGGGACTTGTTAGTTAGCATAATGCATTTTGAAATATTTTTTTCATTGGTGAAATGAGTGTGGTTCAAGATATGTAGGTAAGGTATAATAATCACGCAGTCATCCTACTCCTGCCTGAATAGGGTGTAGTCATTGCCATAGGTTTAGGCAAACCCACACCTGTTCATTCAGACCCAGGTCTTTGAGATCCGTTGTCCCAGGGCCGAGGAGAAGGTAAGTCTGTGATAGTAGCTCATCTGTGCTAGTGGTTCACATCCCCAAGACAGCTCAGCAGCATGATCATCCAGATAAAAAATTTAGGGTCTACTTTTGCTTGCTATTTACTGTTTTGCTGTAGAATAATCTCACAATGTTTTAAGCAAATTTACCATTTTGTGTTGGGCTGCAGTCACAGCCATCCTGGGCTGCATGCGACCTGTGGGGCCGCATGTTGGACACCCCTGCAACTGATTATAAAACAAACAAACAAGCTGTGGAGAGCCCAGCATCTAGCACACAGGTGGCAAACACAAGGCCTGCAGGCCGAATCCGGCCCTCCGCCATGTTTTATCCGGCTGGGCACCTTGTTTCTACCTAGTGGCAGTGCTGAACTCTCGCTTAACTGTTAAGGAGTAGTTACATTTATAGTCCTGCAATTATTTCAGCCCTTTGAAGGCAACCTCGAGGCTGATGTGGCCCCTGGTGAAAATGAGTTTGACACCCCTGGTCTAGCAGGAGGGTGCAGGGCTGGAGTGAGGAGCAGGTATTTTTGGTTGAGGGGACCTGTCCAGCACTTTAGTCACATTATACAAGCAAGTTGCCTGTTCTGCCAGTTCGGACCAAAAGATCCTGGATGGTGGTGCCTGAGAGAGCTCCTCGGAGGTGATGTGATGAAAAAGCTGGGTCCAAACAATTGGTGTGGAGAGACTGGCATGGTTATTTTGGGGCTGGTGTAAGTTTTTAAAAACTTGTTATTGTTTATATAAATTTTCTTCCATATGGATTAATTATACTGATACATACCCATGCACCCTGATTATTAAGCACTGGGACTTTGTAAATATGCATTCCATTCTGACATAACATTACTTCTGATTTTCAAAACATTACCATTCCAGCACCATGATATAAACACAACCATTCCCAGACACTCACATGATTTTCAAAGCCGCAGATCAAGTGCTAAACTGTCATCAGACTGAAAAGAGAAAAATTCACTTCATGTTGTAATCAGCTTGTCTGCCGCCAATTCCTCCTAAGAAGGGGATTATGCAATTAGTAGTAACAGAAGTCCTGGGCATTCTCTGAAGGAAGCACCCCGCATGCTGTGGGTTGGTCACACATTTTTGGAGGAGGTCATCAAGAGGATGTGATCACTGGTTGACCCCCTCTGCCAGGGGCCCAGGCAGCCAGAGGCTCCTCACCCCCTTCTCCCGTGTCCTTGGAATGTACTTCTGCCCACTGATCCCAGAGTGTTCCAAGGACACAGCCTTGAGAGAGTAAGGTGTGGTTGAGACCAAGTGGATGGTTTGTGTATGTGACTGAAACCCGGTAAAGGGACTCATACATACATGTTTAAGATCCTGGTGGACGGGTGTGGAGATCTACTCATCTTGCAGCCACCCAAGGCAAGCCTCGTAGGTAAGTTCACTCTCTCACTAAACCTGCCACCTACCGATCTGGAGTCGTCTGCCTCTTTCTTTGGTCTCTCAAAACAGTTTTTGCCTTTTGTGCACCACATGTTTGCCTTCTGTGAATCAACCAATTTTTGTTCACAAGTGGGTTTCTGGGTCCCATCACTAGAAATTTCAATTCAACAGGTGTGAGATGGGGTCCAAGCATCTTTACTGCTAGGTTTTAATAAGTACCCCAGATGATATAGATCCTGTGGCCTTCAAGCCACCCTTTGAGAAAGACCCTTTTCTGAAATGTCTAAACAGGAAATTTATTTCCCATTTAGTGGGAGGCAACGTCGATCTTTTGCTTTTAGGCTTCCTTAGTGGATGGAGCTAGAATATATATCAATATACACACACACATACACATGAACATATATTTTCTTTCTGTGTACCTATCTACATTAGAAATGATTTTACCCCATCACTTCTGATTTCAAGCAACACTCCTGGGTTTACTCTAGTTTCCCCCCTTTCTATCTCTAATTCTCTTCTCCAGCCATGTGAAAGCTGCTTCCCAGTGTCTTTAGTGCATTTGCTTGTTTGCTCAGTTTCCCAGTATATAAACCAATCTGCTGGCCATCTCAACAAAAAGTGTAGCCTATCTTTATTAAGTTGTGTTTATCATTATATGTAACATATAAAAACTGCAATTATGAAAATTATGTATGTAAAAATGTAATATGCACACATATGTATATAATGTAGGCATATATGTGTACATATGTAATAAATATTTTATATCAAAGGTAAATGTAATACTTTCTATATGTATATAAGAAATTATGTAACATATATTAGCAATCCCATATAATATATAAACTATATCAATATAAGTAACTACATATATGTGATTTCATATGTGTTTTCCCCAGCTCTGTTACAATATTTTTGACATATCACATGAAGTTTAAGGTGTACTATGTGGTGATTTGATAGACATATACGAAGGGGGGACCCAAAACCCCCCAGAATTTATTTATAAAAATTGTGTATTCTTATATGTTTAAACTTCGGTCACCCTCAAAGTACTCTGCATTTGATGCAATACACCTATCAAGAAGTTTTTTTCCACGGCTCAAAACAGTTTTTGAACTCATGGATTTTGATGCCTTTTAGTGCTTCTGCCATTTCTTGTTCCACCTCTTCCACACTGGCAAATTGTTTCCCTTTGAGGACTTTTTTTCATCTAGGGAAACAAAACAAAAGTCACTCCAGGGCAAAATCGAGTGAATAGGGAAGGTAGGGCATGGAGGTCACGTCATTTTTGTCCTGCCCAATGCTTAGCACAGTGCAGGCAGGTGCGCTCATAAATCGCCCATCATGAAATGGACAAACAGTTGAAAGAGTCTTTGGAAAAATTCACAAAGATGAACGCAGCCTCTCACAACAACACCAGCTGGTACATTGACACAGATGGGTTCCTAGAACACTCACCTAGTGGGGGAAGCCTGTACTACAAGGGGCCTGCCCTCCAGAAGATAATTCTGGTTGTTTTGGGGTCCCCCCTCAAATATTGCAAAAACCATTACTACAATAAGGTTAGTTAACAACAGTTCAGCCCCTCACATAATTACCAGTAGTGTACATGGGGATAACATTTAAGATTTACTCTTCATCCATTTTGGGTGTTTAGCAGAGGGTCTAACGCAGGGCAGGTACTAATTACTGTCTATTGGATGAAATAACCAATGCATTCATTAATCAATATAGAATGGAGGGAAGAGGGGTATACGTAGGAAAGGAGGCCTTAAACTTCAACTTCTGGACCCGCATGGATGAGAACAGTCCAAGTCTCCCATCCTTAGAAACCATTAGGTAATTTTATTTCAAGAGCCCCCCTCCCAATATAAGAATAAATCTTCAATTCATTCTTGATATTGATAACATTTATATTGCACACCAATCTTGTGTTTACCAGTTGGCACCAACAATCTTATTTTAACTTCTTGGATCTTTAACTAAACATCAAATTACAAAGCTCCCACATTAAAGAATGTCATCAATTCAAGTTACCCTTTCTTATTTTCTGTCAACTTTTCCCAAGAATACCTGCAGAGCTAATTTTTCTGGGAAGTTCTTTTGTGGTGTTTCGAATAAGAATAATCACAAAACGCTCCAAATACAGCTTGCGGTGTGAATGTTGAATCAATAAAAATGACGAGGTCAGTAACAATGTCCCTGACGACTGCGGTGGCCCGTTTTAATTTAGAGGGCGCCAGCCACACACGTCAGCGAGATTCAAAGGCTATCGTGTAAACCACTCCGAACCTGGCATCCCTAAGACAAACCTGACGCCAGTGAAGTTTCCAGACGCACCCAGTTCTTGGAATTGACGGAAGGACCTTCGCAGCGCGGAGCCAATCTGCCAGTTTTCTCGGCGGCAGCTAAAGTATCAGAAATTTCGAGGTTTTCTGTTTCTAGGGGCACATCGCCGCCTGCACCTGCTGCGGCGCAGGAAACAGGTGAGCCAGGAGGCCGCGCGGTCTCCGGGGCGCGCTCAGGTGCGTCGGCCCCGCCCGGCCCCGCCCCGCCTGAGCCTCCAGGTCCCGGCGCAGGTGCCGGCGCCTAGGTGCGCGCGGCTGCAGCTCCACGCCACACCCGACAGCGGGCGCCGCTGCAGCGGCTCCAAGCGGCGGAGCGGAGCGCTTCGCGAGTTGGGGCAGCTCCTGCGCCCGGCCCTACTCCGCGGCGAGAGCTCCGCCCGGGCGCCGGCTTCCCACGGCTGCGGGAGCGGGCGGGCGCCGAGGGGGCAGACCGACTTCCGCGGACCCCGCCAGTTCCGGGCGGGGAGAGGCGGGCGAGGGGCGAGCGCGAGGGAGCGCCGGGGAGTGCAGAGAGCGGGGCCAGCCCCGAGCGCGCTGGAGACAGCCGAGCGTCCCGCGCCCCGGCACCATGCGACCCGCCGCGCCTCCTCGCCGGCCCGGGGCTTCGCTCTCCGCTCGCTGAGCCCCCGCACTCGCCACCCCTGAAACTCGCAAAGACGAGGCGAGACGCTGGAGAGCAGCGAAGAGACTGACCCAGACGTCCCCTTCGCCCCTAAAGAGGCTGCGGATCCCCGTTTTCTGGGCTTCTCTAGCTTTACCATGAACCTGGTGCAAGATTGGCTTTAGGACAAATTCGGAAGCCGGAGGGGGGAGTCGAGGCAATTCTTTGGTTGCTAAGGTAATTGTAGTTGTGACAACAATGGGCGAGAAACTAGTGGGGGAAAAGGTGCTTTAAAACGGCATGCCCCCCCCCCCCCCAATTCCTCTGTGTCGATGCCATCTCATCGCCTGGGTGTAGATGCTGGTCGGTTTCGGATGCGTGACAGGTGTCGGGCGTGTGTGTGTGTGGTTTGGGACTGTAGAGGCACGATCTTACGTAAGTGGCAAGGCGAGCTGGCGGTGGACTTGTGTGGGATGGGTGCAGGTCTGCACAGAAACCGCGTCCCCGGGCTGCGAGGGGCGAAGCGCTCACCGCCTGGGACCCGCGTGCGGCCGGTACGTGCCTTTAGAGACTTCCAGTCTTTCCGTGATTTGGGGATCCCAGGTAGGGCAGCTTTACTTCAAAAGCAGACTGTAATTAACTTTTCCGCTGAAGAAGCTCGCCCATCTGTGGTTTGGAGGAAGAGAAAGCGAGTCGTAGGGGTGGGTGCCCCGGGCTGGTTTGGGGAAAAAACTGCGGCAGGAAGGGGAACCGAGGTGCTCGCCCCCGAGCGGATGACAACTAAGCTGGTGGCCTGAACCCCTTTACAGTCACTGCCGAGCTGCTGCGTAGAAAGTGGCCCAGAGAGATAGGAAAAGTGACCCAGAAAATTTAATTTTGTTCAGAATGAACGCTGCTGTATTTTTTAATATGATGAAGTAGGGAGGCATATTATTTCTCTCTCTCTCATTAAGAGGAGTGGCATTTCCTTGCTACAAAATGAAGATATTTTGTATCTTGCTGTTGGCTTGGAACTGATCCCCCGGCATTAACTAGTGCTTAGGAACTGGATCTGCAGGTAATTTCTAATCAATACCTTTTAGCAGCCCCTAAGTAAAACTGCCAAATACGCAGGATTTGGTAAAGCCTGACGTTGGGACTTTTTTTCTTACCAGAGGGGGATGACAAGTGGAAGAATGAGGACTGGGCTTGTACATGTCCAAACGGAGTGTGAGACTGAGCTACAAGTGTGTGTGTGTTGTCAAGACTTGGTGGACCGAAAGGTAGCAGTTAGAGTTAGCTTAGCAGGTTCAACAAGGCTTTTACAGGTTCATTTTCATAGGCAGATGGGTCTTCATATGGAGTGGGCACTGGGGAGTTGGTGAGCAACTTTCTGTGAGTTGTATATTGTTCATGCTACTTATTCTTCTTATTAATTTATTAATTTTGCAATGCATGGGACTACCTCAAAGTGATTTGAGGACAGAGGGGAATGTGACACTCTTTGGAGATACACCTTTATCAGCAAAAGCTTGCATGCCCAACAGAGAAAACTAAGATTTTTCTTCTGACTTCTCTGATACTGTTGTCAAGCTAAATTGTTGTGTAAATGTGTAAATAGTGTGGTATACATATATATTCCCCCCCAATAACTTGTCTTTTCTTGAAAGTGTCGGTAATTCTAGAAATGTCAGCTACTGTGATGTATTTTAATAATGTAGGTAGCTGCTGGTATTTCCTTTTTTATATTCATTACATTGGTTCTTAACTTCTCTGTCTCCTTCAAAAAACTTAAATTGACATTCACTGATATATCCCTGAGAGTTTCAGTAAAACAATGCTAGGTTTTCCACAAGCAGCAAATTTTAGTTTTCAAGTGAAACATTCATTACAATAGTGCTTTTATTGCAGAAATGTCTCTTTAAATGAGACAGTTATTTATTTATTTATGAATGATTTGTGGAATAAGATAGCCAGCATAGATATATTTTAAACAAACATTTCTTGTGAAATGAAATTTCACATACAAAGAAACATGTTTTAATTGAAGTACAGTTGATACACAATTTTATATTGGTTTCAGGTGTCCAGCATGATGATCCCACATTTGTATGCACTGTGCTACGATCAATAAGTGAAGTTACCTTCTAAAAGGATATTTAGGAGAACAAAATTGGCCAGTAATTTTGGATGTCTGATGGTCCACAGGGACAGAATTTTATGTGAAAGTAGGATCGTTCTGTTTCTTATTTCTCCGGTAATCTCCCCTGTATTTTGTCCCCTGGACTTCTTGGGCTTTGCCAGGAACTGCCGAACATTGTGTTTCGTGCCAGGGGTTAAGGGTCAGGGAGATGTGAGTAAGGAGCTCTGTGTCACATCAACACTCTTCCAAAGAGACGCCCTCCGAGATCTCAGTGCCGGGGTGAGTTTTCCTTTAGCCTCACAGTTATCTTGTCTTAATTCATAATGCTTTGAACCTAGGAAAGCGTTTAACCTCTTCATTTTTAGTGCCAGCTGGAAGGGATATATTTACCGAATTTCATCTTCATTGTAACATATGGCATGATATAAATAATTACTACACACTGTCCTGCTGTATGGAGAGAAATAGAATTACAAAATAAACCTTCATGTTCAGTTATATGGATGTAACAGTTCAAAAAAAAACCCAGTTTTACTTTTTTTCTTTATTACCAAGGTAATATATAAGCATTGGCAAATGGTCAGAAAACTACAAAGAAAAAAGGATTACTTGTGATTCCCCCACAGATGGTGAACCACTGTTAACATTTTTGCATACTGTATCTTCTTCCAGACTTTATTCTGATCACACTGTTCATTGGATTTTTGCCCCTCCCTTTAGCCCACCCTGAATTTCAGATCTGTAAATGGAATTTGGATATGCGTTAAAGGTTTCGAAGATTACTGCTAGACCAGGTTTTCATTTTTGTTAATGATCCTTATTTTCAAAGAGAGTAGTTTCTCTGTTTATCTGTTTTCTTTGAAAAGCAAGATTTGCACCTTGAGTCAGTCATCCTTGGGACTCCCCTTAAGATTCAGGGATTAAAGCATCAGGAAAGAAATGGAACATTGGCCGTTCTGGGCAGGAGGCCTTAGTTTGGGTTTCAATCCCTTCACCAACTCACGTGGCCTTTGACCTCTGGGCCTCTGTTTCCTCAAAGGACAAGTGACAGTTGCAGATTTAGCTCAATAAGCTAACACAGTATTTGTTGTTTTTATGTTTGTTGAGGATAATTTTTGCTTGAAGTGGGCTCTTTAGAACACAGATGGCTGGGGGGGTCACCCCAAGAGTTTCTGCTCAGTTGGTCTGGAGTGGGGCCTGACTATTGACATTTCTGACCAGTCCCTGGTGATGCTGACTCTGCTGCTCTGGGGGCCACACAGAGAACTGCAGAGTAAGCCCCTTGGGGGCACAGCACCGTTTCATTTTCCTTTGCATCTCCCTCTTCCACGCCCAGTGACGTACCTACCTGCCAGGTGGTGCACAGTAAGCATTTGTTCAATCAGTATCAGTTTTTCTCTCTGGGGGAAAGTTTTCTGAAGTGGTCAAGAGAAGGGAGAGATAATCACCCAGCATTTGGAACTATGAGGTCTGTGATGAGGGTAGTGATCAGTCATGAAATGAAGTTCTTCAGACTGCAAGAAAAGCAAAAACTCCCGCAACTTGGCGGTTAAAGTGAACATTAGGCCTAATGAGTTGCATTAAATAACGGCTCAGAGCACCTGCTTGAGATGCGACAAGCCACGGAGCTTACCAGCGCTTCACTGTCGCCTCCCTGAGGCAGTTCATTTTCTGCCACCTCTACATTCCAGTAAAGAGAGAGGGAAGAAATTTGCTATTAATTACTCTCACTACTAAAGCAGCAGCTAAAGAAAGCAGGAGTCCAGACGCCACCCCCTACCCACCCCTACCCACCCCTACCCACCCCTATGCACCCCTACACACACAAACAAAAGGCAGAGCAGTGCCCGTCAGGACACCACAACCGTTCTATGATAGGTGTGTAGGGGTGTGTAGGGGTGTAGGTGAGATAGGTGGTCGCTCAAGTCTCTTATCTTCCCTTCTTACGCCTGCCACCTACCAATCTGGAGCGGTCTGCCTCTTTCTTTGCCCTCCATTCTATGAGAAAGTTAAGAGAGGGCATTGATGGGGTGCATTTTACAGCTAGGGGAGTCTAGGAAGCTGAAATACCCCTCCTTTGGTCACCCTTGTGTGGCTACTTTGTGTCTAGAAAATGAACCCTTCCTTTCTACTTAGGTGTTGGACACATAGGGTGCAGCCATTTTTATCTATGGCAACCTTAAAAAATGTGTAAATACAGAATCTGGCACAAATAACGCCCTTTTTATTACATAAAAATCTTTTATTACAAAATCGTAAGCATGTAATTCTGTGACATAACACTATCCCACTCAAGCACATCATATGACATTTTAGGTGAAATGTTCACATTGCTGTCCATCTCATGCGAGACAGTCACATACCCTGCCAACCACACTCAGTGCCGTTACTTCTGCCGGGCCCTGCATTTGAGTTCAAGCCAAGCAGCTGCTCCTGTAATGGAGGCTACTCCAATGAGTTGTGGTGGAGACTAGCTGTCTTGGATTCTCTAAACACTTTCGTGAAACCATCAGAGGAAAAGCCATCTTGAAGTTCTGTTATTCACTAGTGTCCTACCCAAGATGCTGCTTTCTTGCCCAGGGGAGAGTGCACGTTAAACAAAGCCTTCTGAGATGAATGTCCTGTGTGAACGTGAACTAGCGGTGACAGCCCCTCGGAAATGCTCAAGGCGCCTGTGTCGCACTGAGACAAGGCCAGCCCCAAGCCGTGACAGAGAACTGTGATCAATAGCTCTTCAAGTAGCACAACAGGCCTTGTGAACCTGTTGTGTTTCTGAACCTCAATTTCCTCATCCATAAGTGGTAATAAAAATATATTCCTTGAGTGTATGTGGCTATGAGGAGAAAATGGTACACCAGGTAGTGTGTACAGGGCAGAGGAGGCATAGTAACTTGAGAAGAAGGACCTGGCACACTACACTATTTTTCTGGTAATATTAATAATCAGATGTTGGTTTGCAACCTCAGGAATTCCCTCGGTGAAATCTGAACCCAGCTCCCATACACAGAGGGCAAAGACCGCTCCAGATTGGTAGGTGGCAGGTGTAATAAGTAAGGGAACCCATGAGGCTTGAGCGACTGTAAGAGTAGTTTTCCTCTCCTGCCCCCTTGAATCT